AACAGAACGAAACACTGCCCGGTCCTGGGCCAACCTCACAATTGTTGACACCCTTTAGCCCACTGATGCTGCCACTTGGCCAATCCATCTTGCTGGGGGTCTTCCTCTTTTTGTCTGACCCTCCACCCTACCAAACATGATAGCCTTCTCCAGCGACTGCTCCCTCCTGACAATATGTCTGAAGAATGAGAGACGAAGTTTGGCCATCCTGGCCTCCAAGGAGCACTCTGGCTGCACTTCTTCCAACTCAGATCTGTTGGTTCGTTTGGCAGCCCATGGCACTTTCAATATTCTTCAACACCATAACTCAAAAGCATCAATTCTTCTACAGTCTTCCTTATTCACTATCCAGCTTTCGCATGCATATGAGGTTATTGAAAATACCATGGCTTGGGTCAGGCACACGTTAGTCCTCAAGCTGACACCTTTGCTCTTCAACACTTTTAAAAAGGTCTTATGTCTAATATTATGTGTCAACTTGGCTAGACTAGGATTCTCAGTGTTTTGGCTACTGGGCTGGTTGGTTGCTCTTTTGTAAAATAACATAATATAATCACTTTCTATGATGTGATCTGAGGTGATCAGCCAATCAGGTGAAGAGGAGTTTCCTTGGAGGTGTGGTCTACCTTTAGTATATATGTTGTTGTTGTTAAGTTCTGTCAAGACAGTTCTGACTCATAGCAATACTGTATAGGGTTTCCGAGGGGTGCTGATGGGTTTGAACCACCAACCGTGTAGTTAGCAGTCCAGTGTTTATCCTACAGTGCCATATCAGGAATATGAAGGCTCTTCAAAAAATTCATGGAAAAATTCCATTAACCTTTTATTCAATTTTTTCATCAATTCTTGAGGTTCCTCATAAATGAATGCTCTGAAACAGCTTGCTTGCCCTCCACTGGGCACTCTTGTTATCATTGGACCTCCCGTTCCTGAGATGTAAGCCTGTTGCCTGACCTGCAGATTTTGGATTCACCAGTTCCAGCAATCCAGCCCCCACAAATGCATGTGCTATTTCCTTAATAAATCACGTGGTCTCATGCGCGCTCTCTACACATGCACACACACACACACACACACACACACTTGTTTTGCTTCTCTGGAGAAGCCAGACTAACAAATGGGGGGTTCAGCATCTTTCCTTGACCATAGCCAAGGCTGGCAGAAGTGACTACATGGTCTCCTCACACACACTAAACCACGAAAGTTGCTTCCAATCCAAAGCCAGTCATATTGTAGCCCCCTGCAGCTCAACTGTATTTTATGCCTTGTGATGGTGGTGGTGTGCCATGCAGTGAGTTCCAACTAATAGCAACCCTGTATAGGGTTTCCCAGGTTGTAAATCTTTACAAGAGTAGAAAGCCTCATCTTTTCTCCCATGGAGTGGCTGGTAGACTACAACTGCTGAGCTTGTGGTTAGCAGCCTAATGTGTAACCAAATACAAACCAAGGCTCTATTTTATGCCTACTTATTCATAGTCGCTACATTTAATCAAAACTACTTTCAAAGTTCCAAAATCAAATCTACAGAACATGAGTCCTTGAAACTCATCGAAGCCAATTTTTTAAGATTTTTAAAAAACTTAGAATGCATGTATTTTTTAACTTTTAATTGTGAATTGAGTGGATATTTTCAGAGTAGATCACTAGTTTTATATTCAACAAATCACATACTTTGTTTCATTTCAATGAAATTGCCTTAATGTAACATCAGTTATCCTACTTCCTCCTTGGGATTCTTGTTTCCATTCCGCCTCCTTTCCCAACCTTTCTGAGTTTTTTCCTTAGGTAAATGCTGCCCCTTTGATCTTGAATGGTTGACCATCCATGGTGAGCACACCTCATTAGTGTTACTGTCCCCCTTACATACCTATCTACTGCTTGGCTGGAAATTGAGCTGTGAGGGTGAGTTCCGCTCCAGACTTGAACGGTGGTTCTTCCCGTCTCTTTCTCTCTTTCTGACCAGTGGTCTTTTAAAATAATTTTGAGTTTTGTTCCACATTGTCTCCCACTCTATCCAGGATTTTCTAATGTGATCCCTTTCGGAGTAGTTAGTGGTAGCCAAGTGCTATCTAGGTCTTCTGGTCTCTGAGTCATGGAGATGGATGTTCATGTGTTCCATCAGTCCACTGGACTAAGTGATTCCAAAAATCTTCAATTTTCATCACACTTCTTTCCTCTGCACAAGGATGGCTTCTCATGGACTTTAAGGTCTCAGTCACTATTCACCAAGTAGCATGTAGATCATTCATTGTCTTTGTGGAGGATGCTATGCCAACTGACCATGTGTCCTCTGAGACTATGGTTTTAAGCCCCCAGGTCCAGCTACTCATTTCCTCAAGACATTTGGTAATGTCTAAGAAGTTTTCATCGTTTTGCCCTCTGAATGCTCCTCCACATTCATGGACATGTTTTAAATACCTATGCAGAAAGATCCTCTCCCACACTTTGCATATGTGTGGGCATATTCTCACTGTCCCTCCCATACCCATTCAGCCTGTGTATCTTTTCATGTATTCATCCACACATCACTGTTACTGCAGGATTGTGTATATAACAGTGGTGGTGGTGGGATGTGCTGTGGAGTTGGTTCTGACTCACAGTGACCCTGTATAGGGTTTCCAAGGCTATAAATCTTTACTGGAGCAGAAAGCCTCATCTTTCTCCTGAGGAGCAACTGGTGGATTAGAATTGCCGACCTTTTGGTTAGCAGCCCAACTGGTCACTCACTACACTACCAGAGTTCCTTGTATATAACTATATTTACCCCTATTCCTTTTAATTCTTGCAAGTTTTTAAGATTTTAAAATAGGCAATTCAAATGGATGAAATCTTAACATGCTATCCTTCAGCTATCTTCCATTTCAGGTTATCTGAATGGGGAACCATAAAAGAGTCCCCTTTAGTTTGCTGCCCACCCTTACCTCTCAGTCTACCATGGTGTCCAGACAGTAGAAAGAGCTGTTCCTAAAGGGAGTCCTGGTGTGGTGCTGTGGGTTAATGCACTGGACTGCAAAGTCGGTTTGAACCACAAGGATGGCAGTTCAAGCTCACCAGCTGCTCCTCAGAAATTCTATACAGGGTTGCTATGGGTTGGAACTGACTTGACAGCCCTACCACCGTCAACAACAAAGAAAACCAAGGAGTCCTGGTGTGATGCTGTAGGGACCACAATATCAACAGTTCAGACCCACCAGCCTTTCCTTGGCCATGAGTCAGAACAAACTTAACAACAACAACAAAGGAAACCTAGGAGACAGTCTTACCCCCCTAAGACAGGATGGCCAGTTTTAGCAAGCAGAAATACAAAATGCCCAGTTACAGCTGAATTTCAGATAAGCAATGAGTAATATTTTACAATAAGTCCCACAAAATATTTGGGATATGTTCCCATTAAACAATTATTTGTTGTTTTCAACAACACAAATCTAACTGGGTGCCCTACAGTCTTATCTGGCACTCTGTCCTAGGCTCTGATCACCTAGAAAATTGGGGATTCATCAGACGTGCGGTGGGTAGGGCCTCTAGCCACTAGCCTAGGAGTATGGACAATTAATGACGCAGGTCTGGCATTCTTATTCCTTTACGCAACAGGGTTCTCCCTTTCCTTCACTCACTCTTCTCCAGGGAGGCTCCTTGGCTCCTGACAGGCTCTAGCCAACCCTGCTCTAAGCCCCGTCACTTCTTTTAACAGACACACTCCCTCCCGAGTCTCTGGCTGAGTCTCCACAACACACTTGCCAGCCTTTCTCCCACCTGCTGCTGCTAACAAGAGCGCCCTTGTTTCCACAGGTTATTGCCTCATGTTCTGTTTCCCCAGCAAGCTGCAGAGGGGCTTTGCAGGGGCTTTTGGCGATAAGCTTTTCATCTTGTTTTAGCTTCTGAGTGCTGCTGTAACAGAAATACCATACAGGAGATGGGCAGTTTTAAGGAACAGAAATGTATTATTTCCCAACCAGGAGAACAAAAACCCAATCCTGGGCCCTGACTCTGGGGAAGGCTCTGAGGGAAGCTCCTAGTCTCAGCTTCTATAAACCGGATGTCCCCTTGGGCCTTTGATGATACCCATGTGTCCTCTGTCTTTCCCTTTTGTGCTTGCTTCTTTCTGTGTCTAATCTGCTCTTATATCTCCCAAATGATTAGATTGAAAACACATCCTACAATGATGTAACAAACAAAATCCTATTCTAAATGGGATGACTTCTATGGTGTAGAGGTTAGGATTCCAACACACATTCTAGGAGGACACAATTCATTTCATAACAGCTGTACTGACCCTTCTATCCACTGTCTTGTATTCAGATGCCAAGAGCATATCAAGTTTGCTCACTCAGTACAGATGGAGCTTTTTGGTCATAATTTCAAGACTTAAGCTAAAGGAAGGGCTGGGCAAGCATGTCCATATTGCCTAGCAGAAGTTTTTATGGGCTCTACCCCACCTTTTCCCAGACACTGCCTCCCTCCTCACTACCTCAGTCTTTGATGCACCATATCTAAAACGATCACATATTTAAACTGAAACAGGAAGGAAAGGGTCTTGCTTCCAGGCTTCCCCGTGTGTGTTTGCGGCAAAACATTCAGAGCTCAGCTCTAATGCGCAAGGAACTATGGAAGAAACACAGACGCAACAATAAAACCAGGGCGGGGTGGAGGGAGTTAATGATAGATACCATCACAGAATCTGTTCTCACTGGGTGCAGAGAAAATTAATTTTTGAAGACATTTCATTTAACTTTGCAATATTTTGCTGTTTAGCCTTTGATGCCTGAAGCATTTTTCTTTTATTCACCCTCCCCGCCTTTAAAGCTAAAGATGGGGGTGAGTTTTAAGTATGGCTTCATGAAAGATGATTTGGTTTGCTTTCTCTGCTCTGGCTGGACACAAGAAAAGTGTACTCAGGTAACACAAGTTATTGTCCACCCTAATTTGCAGGGCTTCACCTCTGATCTAAACATCCACTTAAATAATCTGAAACACAGCGTCCAAAAGAATAAGATTATTACCTTCCAGAGCAAGGCACCGGGGTGGGCTGGACGACCAGATAAGGTTGTGTAAGCACTCGAGGTACTCTGACCCCTCTAGTTTAAATCCAGGGAAGCAGTGGTAAGAGATCACAGTTCCTACTGGGAAGGAGGTCTGGAACTCAGAGATGTTCACATAGCCATTCGAAGAGGCTAAGGGTCTCAGACAGCCTGTGAAATGGGAAAGAAAAGGGGAAAGATGTTTGTACATCTGACACACAAACAAAACACTAAAACTCTGTAGGACACCCCCACTGGCAACATAGCACTGACTCTGAGGTGCCATCGAGTAGTCTGGCTTCGTATAACAGAGCGAAATGTCCGGTCCTGTGCCACACTCACAGTGATCACTATGCCACTGTGGCAATCTGTCTCATTGAAAGTATCCCACTTTTTCACTTTACCAAGCATGATGACCACCATCTCAGTGTCCGATGACATATAGTCTATTTACCTGGTGGTGCTGCGGGTTAGTCATTTGACTAATTGCATGGTTGGCAGTTCAAACCCACTAGACTCGACGGCGCTTAACAACAATAACAACAACAACATAATGTGGATATTTGCTTTTATATTTGCAAGTAGCACTAAGTTGGTCAGATAAGTAGCTCAGTATTAAAGATGGTGGCGAGGATTGGAACACCCCTAGACCAGGAACTGCCAGCCCCAACTGCATATTAGTTTCACCCAAAGAGATTTAAAAATAAAAACCCGATGTCCTGTTTCCAGGTCCAGAGACCTGCTTTGTGGGTCTGGATAGTGTCTTTCTTTTCTTTTTAGTAATTGTATTAACTGTTCTATCTTGAAAGCATATAGATTATTATCTTATCATAACAATACAGCATTGTAGCATTGTACTTCAGGACAGATCTTGAAATGTTAATTTTGTAGTTGTTCTTCTTGGGAAGACTCACATACACAGCAAAACACACACCAATTTGACCATTTCTACACGGACAACTTGGTGAGCTCTGGTAGCATAGTGGTTACGAATCGGGCTGCGAGCCTTAAGGTCAGCAGTTCAAAACTACCAGCCGCTCCGCGGGAGATAGATGAGGCTTTCTACTCCCGTAAAGATTTACACCCTCGGAAACCCTGCACAGGGTCGCTATGGGTCGGAATCGACTTGACGGCACTTAACAACAACAACACGGACAACTTGGTGACACTGATGATGTTCTTTAGGTTGTACAACCATCCTCCTCAACCTCCTTTTCTGGGTTCTTCCTCTGCCATTAACATGAACTCCATGCCCCCTAAGGTTCTCATCTGATTTTTTGAGTTGCTGTTGTCAATCTGATCTCATATAGATAGTTCTTAAAAGAATTTTATGTTTTTAACTAGTTAAGCTGAACTGTTGTTTGGTTTTTAAGAAAATGTCAGGGGATATTTTGGGTTTGAGGCTTCAAGATTATCTCAGGGCAATAGTTTCAGGGAGTTATGTAACCTCCACAGCTTCAGAAAGTCTAGAGTGCATGAGATTTTGAGATTCTGTTTGGCACTTTCCCCCTTTTGATCAGGATTTGTCTATGTACTTGTTGATCAAAATGCTCAGTACTAGTAGTTGGGAGCCATCCAGTTCTTCTGATCTCAAGACCCAAGGGTACAGTTGTTCATGGAGGCAGTTAGCCACCCAGTTCCTCTTCTTATTTCTGACCCTGTCTTCATCTATAGCGCCAAGTAAATCAAGACCAATTTTCATGTCTTAGATGGTCACTTGCAAGCTTTTAAGGCTCTAGATACTATGCAGTAAACAAGGAGGTAGAACAAAAGCACTGAGCCCATTATTAGGCCAATTAACTGGCATGTCCCACGAAACCATGACCCTAACTCCCAAGTACTTCTAATGTGCTGTCAGGGTTGAGAACCACTGAGGTAGCACAAAAGGAATGAGGCATCCCAGTGCCTCTTTGAATGGTAATGGTGGGTGGCCAGGGAAGGTTATGATCCAAAGGCAATTCCACTGCAGATCATAAAACACGCATGCCTGCAAAGGTACAATTAAACTTTGGAAAATTAGCTATGTTGGATGTAAAATAGGTATGGAACTTTGTACTATAATGTGGCATACATCTGAATTACCCAAAGGGCCCATCACCAGAGTTTATAATTCCCTAGGTCTGGGGATAATTAGGAGTTGACTCGATGGCAGTTGGGAGGTGGGTGGTGATGTCTGAAAATTCACATATCTAGCATTCCCAGGAGATGCTGATGTTGCTGATCTGGGGGCCACACTTTGTGAACCACTGCTTCAGTGAGTCCTTGCATCAGCAGAGAATTGTGTGTGAAAGAAGTGAGATCAGGATTCCATACTTCTACTTCTGTCAAACATTACTAGCTGCCATCATGCTGACTCCAACTCACAGCGACCTCACGTACGTCTGAGGAGAAATATGGCCCATGAGTTTTCAAGGGCTGATTTTCCAGAAATAGATTGGCAGGTCTTTTGTCTATGACCCACCACATCAGTCCTGTAGTTAGAAGCTGAGCCCATTGAGTGTTCGCATTACCCAGAAACTCTCTGTGAAAAACATCCACTCCCTTTTTTCCCTTTAAGTCTGTGCAGCCCAGCAGAACATCTGCAATGGCACAGAATCCGGGTGTTTGTAGAGCTTCCACTGTGACCATGGAGTTTCCCACTGGCTTCAGCAATTTCACGGGAGGGAATAATGACACAGCACAGAGGCTGTGCTTCCAGGGTGGGAAATTAATTGTATGTGAAGTAAATAACATGTGACAGAAATGCCCAGCTTCCCTTCCAATCACCAAGTACAGATTAAACCTTATGCATAGCAGCAGATGACTGAACCCTCCCCTCCAAGGTGGATTTGGTAAAATATTTTATTGTAAAATGATCTCTCAGCAATTTGCTGGGTGTTTATGTCATGTTTTTTAAACATTCCAGTATATGGGGTTTGTACATTAGGGCAGGAGTCCCTGAGTGGTGGTAATAGTTAACACACTTAACTAACAATTGAACTGGTAAAGTTTTGAATCCACCCAGGAGAACTTTGGAGGAAAGCTCTGGTGTTTTAATTCCAAAGAATCAGCTACTGAAAACCTTATGGAGGATAAGAACAAACAAGATGGCGGATCGGGTAGAAGCGCAGTAAAGGAGCTCCGCCAATAACAACACAGACTACCTGACCAAGCAGGCTCAGGGGCTGGTCCCAGAACTCTGAACCACATATAAAGGAATATTTAGAAGGTTGGAAGGCTCACAGCTGGGGGAATTTGTGGCAGAAACAAGAAATCTATTGCTTTCTAGTCTGAGATGCTCGGCTGCTCCAGGAGCCGCCATCTTGGGTGAGACCAAGCAGGGGAAGAATCGGAGCGGCCACAGACGCCTAGCAGAACCACTGAGATAAAGGTGTGGATATTCTTTTCTTTTGGTATCTGTTCGTTGGTCCCTTGCTATCTATGCACCTCCATTCTGGTGACTATAGGGGTGCCTGAGCTAGTAGGCACCCCAGCCCCACCCTTGGAGGGTTCTACTATGCATGCGCACAGATCTCCTCGAAACTTAAAGAGACAGTTTCCAATTAAAACCAAACGACCACAGCCGGCCCTGAACTGTTTCCAACTAGAAAAAAGGCCTGAAAGGGGACTGTGGAGTGGGACAAGCAGACAAAAGAGGAAACAGGCCGAAAATTAAATCCTAAGTTATGTCAAAACCACCAACAGTGGCATCTTGAAATTTCTCAAGAAGAAGACTGAAAAGGGAAGCCTATTTCCTGATCACACCTACCTGGAGGCAATCAGAAAGCATAAAAAATACCAAATACATAGCCATCTAAGTATTAAGTCCACAGATAACCCCTAAAGATGCCCAAAAAACAAAAGCAGATGACCATCTGTGCACACGTCCAGAAACGAGGTAAAGTGACTGAGGCAAATAAGCTGGAAGTAGACCTACACTCCATACTAGAAGATGGGCAGGCTTTGGAAATGCCTGAGAAGGAATTCCTAAAAATGATTATAAAAGGTATCAAAACACTATACAGTGCAGTTGAGAAAAATAA